AAGACGAAGCAGCCGCAGCCATTCTGGAACAAGATCCCAGAGGCGAGTTCACGAGGGGCGATCGTCACGACGATGACGACGACGATGATTCAGGAGAAGGAGGAGCGGGCGCAGCAGGAGGCGCAGCAGGAGGCGCAAAAGGAGGAAACGGAAGCGGCGGAGGCGCAGCACCACCAGCCCCACCAGAGCCAGAAAGCGACGACGACGACGTACAGGAGGTCATCCTGCAGCATCGCCACGACAGCACCATCACCGGAATGCAACTCCTCGGGCTCCACGCTGCCACCTCAACGACGCCGCGCATCATTGAGCCTAAGAACCCACGGCAAGCTCTCACAGGCCCACACAGCAAGGAGTGGCGCAAAGCAATGGATGCGGAAATCAGGGCACTCGAGTCACGCGACACCTGGGTGCTCGTCGACTGTGCAGCAGTGAAGGGGAGAAGAATCCTCTCCGGCAAGTAGGTCTTCCGCGTGAAGACCGGAGCTGACGGGACGATCGAGCGATTCAAGGCACGCTGGGTGGTGCGAGGCTACGATCGGAGGCATGGCATTGGCTTCGATCAGACATTCGCACCGGTCAGCCGTCACACGTCCGTCAGTATCCTCCTCACCATCGCTGCCGCACGACACCTACCACTCCGCCAGATTGATGTGAAGAACGCGTTCCTGTACGCGTTAGTAGATGCAGTGATCTACGTGGAGCAGCCGCACACATACGGCGACGGGGACCCACGTGTCTGCCAACTACGCAAATCCCTTTACGGGATCAAGCAGGCACCGAGACTTTGGCAGCAGTACATACATAACATCCTGCTTGAAATTGGGTTCAAGCAGCTGCCTCACGATCCAGGGATGTATCGCCGCGACTTCCGCGGCGAATACATTCTGCTCACGGTTTACGTCGACGATCTGCTTTACACAGGGTCAAGCCCCGAGTTGCTTGAGCAATTCGAGAAAAACCTCGCAGGGCGCGTCGACATCACCTGCAACCATGACGTGAAGCAGTTTCTCGGGCTCAACATCACCTACTCGCCGGAAGCCATTCACCTTTCAGCAGCCAAGTATGCAGAGGAACTTGGCAAGCGCTTCAACATCACGCCTGCGCCGTTCTCCACCCCTTACCGCACTCCAGGACCTAACCATAAGCCTGACAACAAAGCCCTATCCCCAGCTGGGCTTCAGACTTACCAACAGCAGTTGGGATGCCTGCTCTTTTCCGCAGTCACCTGCAGGCCAGACCTATCCTACATCGCATGTCAGCTGGCCCAATACTCACGCAAACCAACGGCTGAGAATCTCTCAGATCTTCAGCGAGCACTTCAATTCTCATCTCCACGCCCAATGTTGGGCTCTGCTACTCCACCATCCCAACCTCGTCCTTCAACCTTATCGGCTACGTGGACGCTGATCATGCCGCTGACCCCGACAATCGACGGTCCAGGACAGGCTTCCTTTTCCGCCTCGAGCCCAGCGGCCCCATCTCCTGGAATTCTCAGAAGCAGGAGCTGGTTGCCCTGTCATCGGCAGAAGCAGAATTCATCGCAGCAACAACAGCTGTTCGCGAAGGTCTCTATCTTTAGGAGCTGCTGCAGGAGGCGAAAATCCCGGCCTCAGCGAATTTTCGCCTGCACTGCGACAACCAGAGCGCGATCAGGATCGCGAACAAATTTGGCTTCGTCAACCGCACCAAGCACATCGCACTGCGGTACTTCTTCGTCAAGGACGAAGTTGACAAGGGCAAGGTTGACCTAACCTACTGCCCGACGGGTGACATGGCAGCAGACTTCCTTACGAAGAAACTGCCGCGTCAGCAGTACCAACACTGCTCCGAACTCAGCGGGGTAGTCAAGCGGGTCAAGACCTGCTACGGCCAGGAGTGAAGGGGGGTGTTACGAATAGTGATCAATGAAACATCACTGTGCACTCCTCACCGCAGCAAGCGAGTCACGCACTACCGAGGTCGAAGACGAAAGGGCGGAAGTAATGCGAAGGGACGTACGGTTACGAGGAGCATCTGGACCGTCGGGCAGACAGCATCAGGCAGCAGCAATGGCGAGGATTCTGCCCGAACAGTTTCGTAACCACCCGGAGTCGCACGGTTGGATTTCGCTGCAATAAGGGAATGTACCCCTTACAGTACATGGCTAGCTAGGTCGTTTCGAATTCCCTTGTACTCTTATTTATATTCCTTGTACTGCATGTTTTTAATCATCTCAAATATTTACATTCACTCTGCTATTGAGGTCAAGGGCCCACCACCACTAGACTAGAAGTGTGCGAACCTTCCTGAGGTGATCCTGAGAACGATCAACTACTGATCGCAGCAAATATGGTAGCCATGGCTAGGGAGAGAGAAGTAACGTGAGAATTGTTACTAGGAAAGAGTGTCGAGATACAAATGTAGGAAAGCCTAACTGAACTTAGGGTGTGTTCAGTTTGTGATAGAAACTAAGAAATGAACCTAAACTGAACCGAAAGTGTAACTCGCTCTGAACCTGGCGAAATAACAAAAGAGCACTATGATACATGCCAGAGCAAGCGCTAGCCTACTCCAAGAGTACGTTATCTCAATACACTTTAACGAGGGGGGAAAAAACATCTTATAGGGAAAGGCATGCAAACAAGGGACGCATCAACCCTAAACACCTTGCCTCATGGTGTTTAGGCTTGATGCCGCCCATGTTGACATGCCTCTCCCGAGAGGGTTTATTCTGTTTGCCCCATAAAATCATATAAATTTCTACTAGGGGGAATATACTACAGTGGAAAATGGACACTAGCGCGGAGAGATCCGTCATTTCCTCCATGCACTGTCTGAATCTGAACACCTTCGCTTCAGATCGCAAGTCCCTCCCGCCCAGAATTTGTGGAGGGAACCACGACAGTTGCGTTTCGTCAGAGCAGCAGCCGGCCGTCCTGTCAGACACTCTCCCCTCATCCACACATCCCCAGCAACCTAGATTGCAAATCAACGGTTGTTAGGAGGAGCGAATCTGTTCAGAACGTACCCCTCGTCGTGATCTGTAATTTTACAGGAGCCTCCACGGTCGTGCATCTCCGGCAGAGGATGTTCAAAATATTGTAGAGACTTCTTGACATCATGTCACTAACACGTGAGCTCCCAAATGATATTAGGGTGAATTTACCAGTATAGCGATAACCACTGACGACCATCACTACAGTATGGGTATGCTCGAGCGCGACAGGCGAAAACGGTGCGAGCTGGCGGTCGTACTCATGATGTTGTCATTAGCTCTTGTCGCGACAGCCCCCAACGGTCTGGCGCGCAGCGAGGGTTTGAGGAGCGACGACGCAGGGATAGGCAGCGGGAGCGAGGGAGCGATGAGCGGGGAAGCAGGCGGCGAAAGAGTGGGGGGTGTAGGAAGCAACGGGAAGCGCGGTGGCGGGGATGACATCAGACGCGAGTTGGACACGAGTGGCACGGTTGGACGCGGCTTTGAGCTGCCGGATCCGCCGTCCAGATTCGATGCATCTGTGGCGTGGCGCCACACGCTGTACCGCACGGCTGACTCGTGCTGGAGCCAGCAGGAGCGACACCTGTACCACACGGTATGGCGTGAGAGAGGTGTCGGTAGCACACGGTATGGCGTGAGAGAGGTGTCTGTAGCACACGGTATGGCGTGAGAGAGGTGTCTGTAGCACACGGTATCATGGCGGGAGAAGGTATCTGTAGCACACGGTATAATTCTATGTCTTGTGGTGTTAGTGCAGTGCTGCCGCAATGCCTGTGCTGTGCTGACTTGTGCTCTGACACCTGTCTCATGCTCTGACACCTGTCTCATGCTCTGACACCTGTCGTCTGCTCTGACACCTGTCGTCTGCTCTGACACCTGTCGTCTGCTCTGACTGTAACAGGACGGAATTCACCATCATGGTGCGAGATGCATGGGAATTTTCGAATGGGTCCTTGCCTAGCTAGCTACGAACAGCAACACTTGCTAGCCTCGGGCCTTTCCCCTTATCCCTGTCAGGATGGTTAGAACAGCAAGGCATAGCATCGAGGCGTGATGTCGAGATGCTATGCTAGATTGAGTAGCGACACGGTCTTCCTATCAGAGTCGCGCCTCTCTTCTCCTATGATAAATATTCCTCCCTGATTCTTCTTGTATTATCCAGATTTCCTATCCTAATCTCAGAATCATCTTCTTGATTCTTCTATCCACTCTCTGTACTACGCTTTTGGATTCCGCTTCTCGTCTATCCAATCTTCCGCCGTGACGACCCTTATTTCTTCGCTACGGCGCCGCTCTCTTCCTAGTGGCCATGGCCGGCCAGGGCAGCCGCGCCGTGCGCGGCAGCAGCGCCGTAGCCCTGTTTCACTGAGACCGGTCGTATGCTCTGATACCTGTCTCATGCTCTGATACCTGTCTCATGCTCTGATACGTGTCTCATGCTCTGATACCTGTCTCATGCTCTGATACCTGTCTCATGCTCTGATACCTGTCTCATGCTCTGATACCTGTCTCATCCTCTGATACCTGTCTCATGCTCTGATACCTGTCTCATGCTCTGATACCTGTCTCATGCTCTGATACCTGTCTCATGCTCTGATACCTGTCTCATGCTCTGATACCTGTCTCATGCTCTGATACCTGTCTCATGATCTGATACCTGTCTCATGCTCTGATACCTGTCTCATGCTCTGATACCTGTCTCATGCTCTGATACCTGTCTCATGCTCTGATACCTGTCTCATGATCTGATACCTGTCTCATGCTCTGATACCTGTCTCATGCTCTGATACCTGTCTCATGCTCTGATACCTGTCTCATGCTCTGATACCTGTCTCATGATCTGATACCTGTCTCATGCTCTGATACCTGTCTCATGCTCTGATACCTGTCTCATGCTCTGATACCATTCTCATGATCTGATACCTGTCTCGTGCTCTCTCTTATGCTCTCACACCCGTCTCATGCTCTCACACCCGTCTCATGCTCTCACACCCGTCTCATGCTCTCACACCTGTGCGTGCAGGCCAACACCGCCCCACCCTCCAACGCATTCTTGAGCGCAGTGGAGGCATTTGAGGCAATGCAGAGGGAGTGCGTGGCGCAGGGAGGCGCAGAGCAGTGGGCGTGGGTGGGCAACAAAGGGAACTGGTATGATCTGTGTTGGGAAACGTTGAGGTATGTTTGTAAGGGTGACAAATATCGTTCCACAGGCGGACCCAGCATATTGCGGACCACCAATTTTGGTCGTTGGACGTACAAGAAAATGGCAAGGATATGATATGAATATTAGGTGCGGAAGAGCACAGTCGTCGGATGAAGTGCAATTCTTTCTCTCGCCTCGCCCCAACCCTCTGCACCCTTCCTTCCTCATTTTGTCACTTACCTACACGTGTGCCAGGAGCAAGCACTTGCCACGTCATGGGCCCGACAGGGAGCTATGCCGCTACATTGTGATAACCGACGTAAATCGAGGTGAGGAGATGAAACGAGGTGAGGAGATGAAACGAGGTGAAGAGATGAAACGAGGAGAGGAGCTGAAAAGTGGTGAGGAGATGAAACGAGGAGAGGACAGGAAACGAGGTGAGGATAGTGCACAGTGCACACCTCCCTGAGAACAACAATTTGGTGCCATAGGGTTGATATGTACAACAATTTGGTGCCATAGGGTTGATATGTGGCAGCAGCTTAGGGAATAACACATGTGATTGTTAGTAGTACTTTGTAAAAAACTATTGTGAATATAAACGGTGGTAACCGGTTTTGGAATACAAGCCGTTTTAGACCACAAGAAAACGAGCACTACTTATATGCCTAGAGAATGTTGTCCTGTCTCAACCACGCGCAGGAAATCCTTGTCGCGGCGAGTTCGGGGACGAAGGAAAAAAAAGAAATGAGAGTAGTGTAACATTTTCTAAAACTGGCACTGTACTAAAACAATTATTACCAAAAATCATATAACTGCCAACTCTCTTTGGTATCCTCCACGCGATAATAGCTCTCCTTTAAAGAAAATGTGTCGTGTACCATAGTAACAAGGTGACTTCTGAGTCGAGTCAAAGGTTTCCCCATGTGGGAACGGTCAACCTATGGATTGGGCAGCGATTTCAGCAGAAGGGGGCCACGTTTAGGAGAATCGCGGAATGAAAAGGCTCGGTTGAAGTTCCGAACGAAAATGACTTGAAGATTGGTAAAAGAAACCTCTCTGAGTATCTTCAGGCTCGGAGGCGAGCGAAGAAGATGAGAAGACGAGCGCAGTGGAAAACGATGGAGATCACTCACGGATGAAACCATTTAATAGTACGGGTGTGGTAGGACCTGAAGGGGAGATAAAGATACCGATTCATCGGTTTCTGGAACAGTTGACTTCTGAGTCGACTCAAAAGTGCACTATGCACACCTCCCTTGGTCATGCCATGCCATGCCATGCCATGCCTTGCCATGCCTTGCCATGCCATGCCATGCTGCAGTCGCGCTGGCCCAGCGCGGTCACTCTGCCGATGAATGGTGGAGCAGCAAATGCAGCAACAAACAAGGTGAGACATGTGACGTTTGAGGCGCCTCAGAAGTTGCTGAATAGGGTGCAACAGCGCATGCAATGAAAGCGCATGCAATGCAACAGGAACAGGGTGAGTGAGCTATGTGCGAGTTACAAGGCGAGGTCACTGCGTACCTCTTGCCTTGCCATGACGTGCCGCTACATTTTGTGCCAGGGACATGCAACGAGTTGATGGTATGAAAGTTGTATCAAAGAAATGTGTTGATAAATCACGTGTTGAACGAGGTGAATCGTTCTTAGGAATGAAGCTGGTCACTTCAGTTGTGCCCATCTCAATACAAGTCAGCAAAATGTAATCAGGTGAGCCGCTCACATCATCAAAGTGGGATGATTTTTTACGCTACTAAAGAATGAGCTCACATCAAGGTGAGCTTCAGCAGTGCGTTTCGTTTTGTGCACTCAGCAGCATCCTTCTCGCATCTACTTTGCAGGTATTGGCAGCAAGATCACTGCATCGTCTCTATTGTGATCTGTCCTGATCGGATCTGATCTGATCTGATGCGTGCAGGGTTGGGCAACAAGATCACAGCATACGTCACGGCGTTCATCTTGGGTCTTCTCACGAACCGAGCCATCATCACACCACCGACTGCCTTCCTCACTCGCCGCTTCTGCAACCCCTTCGCCCACGCCAACACCTCCTGGACTGTTGACTCGCACGCCTATGAGTACGTTATTCCATGTCACCCTCTCACGGGTCTACGCAACTCTCATGCCCATTCCTCACATCCTTCCCTCACATCACTCTCATTAATCAGTGCTGACATGACAGCCATAGCACGGCCACATTCAACCCTTCAAGTTGGGTAGGGCGGCAATTGGTGCTCCAGTCTGATCATGCGTTGGACTTGATCCATCCTTCAACACACACTTCACTTTTGCCGCACGTTCGCTCGTTGTGCCTCACTTCTTTTAAATGATGCGGGTGGTTGACGTGGCAGTTGACTGAAAAGCCTTGTGAATGCTCATCGCACTGAAGACACTGAAAATCCTAGAAAATCCTGAACCACAACTGGTTCTGGTGATACCTAGTCGATAGAACCTAAACCGATCCAAACTGAACCAGAACCGGTTTGGGTCAAACCGGCCTGTGACCTTGTGGGTACTTGGCTCGACCAGAATTGGTCGAGCAGGTCCCATTTCGACCAACAAAGGAGCTGGTTCGTTTGAAGCGGTTATGATTTGTTTGCCCCTGCGCCTTCATCATTGGGTCTTAAGAGTTATGGGGAAAGGAACTGAGGGAATGAGGTAGCATGGTGGGGGGCTGGGTAGGATAGGTAAAGAAAATATTTAACTTAGCCTGTGAAGACAGTGGAGGGTTTTCATGTAGTGCCGGACCCCCAAGTGGTTCGCCTAAATTGAAACGGGATTGGTACTTTGCACAAGCATAGTTCTTACTACTGCCTTGTCCCATGGAACCCCGCATAGGAAGCATGACTTTGTGTGGCAGCAGCTTCTTTTGTTGTAAAATGCTCTTGTAGAGATAGGGTTTGCGCATGCATAGTTCTTAGTGCCTGTTTGTCTGCCTTGACTCGCATCACATGAGGGTTTCTCTGGCGAAGATTTGCAAAGTACCGGTTTTGGGACTCATTTACATTCTTCGGGATAAGATTTGATCCGTCGTTACGTTACTCCCTTCTCACTGTGCCCCCACTCCAGCGTGATCGTGGGCACAGTGTTTCAGAGCCCGCGGCTGCTGCTCACCAGCTTGGCACAGCAGCTGAGGGCAACGCATGGAGGGGCACGCACAGACCTGCCATGGCAGGTGGTCAACAAAGGCGCAGTGTGGATGGACCTGTATCGCAAGTGAGTTCCTGCGTGTGAACTTTTTCACGTTCCACGAGCTTCGTTGGTGGCCTCGCTGGTTCCAGGCCATCGATGAAAACGCATTCCCCTTCCCCTAGCCCCTCTCGCCTTGTCATGAAACGAAATGGAGTGGAACCCCCCTCTTGCCTTGCCTGTTCCTTTGTCGCCCTGTTCCCAAACCGCCATGACCTGGTGCCCTGTTCCCAAACCGCCATGACCTGGTGCCCTGTTCCCAAACCGCCATGACCTGGTGCCCTGTTTCCAAACCGTTATTACCTGGTGCCCTGTTCCCAAACCGCCATGACCTGCTGCCCTGTTCCCAAACCGCCATGACCTGGTGCCCTGTTTCCAAACCGTTATTACCTGGTGCCCTGTTCCCAAACCGCCATGACCTGCTGCCCTGTTCCCAAACCGCCATGACCTGGTGCCCTGTTCCCAAACCGCCATGACCTGCTGCCCTGTTCCCAAACCGCCATGACCTGGTGCCCTGTTCCCAAACCGCCATGACCTGGTGCCCTGTTCCCAAACCGCCATGACCTGGTGCCCTGTTCCCAAACCGCCATGACCTGGTGCCCTGTTCCCAAACCGCCATGACCTGGTGCCCTGTTCCCAAACCGCCATGACCTGGTGCCCTGTTCCCAAACCGCCATGACCTGGTGCCCTGTTCCCAAACCGCCATGACCTGGTGCCCTGTTCCCAAACCGCCATGACCTGGTGCCCTGTTCCCAAACCGCCATGACCTGGTGCCCTGTTCCCAAACCGCCATGACCTGGTGCCCTGTTCCCAAACCGCCATGACCTGGTGCCCTGTTCCCAAACCGCCATGACCTGGTGCCCTGTTCCCAAACCGCCATGACCTGGTGCCCTGTTTCCAAACCGCCATGACCTGGTGCCCTGTTTCCAAACCGTTATTACCTGGTGCCCTGTTCCCAAACCGCCATGACCTGCTGCCCTGTTCCCAAACCGCCATGACCTGGTGCCCTGTTTCCAAACCGTTATTACCTGGTGCCCTGTTCCCAAACCGCCATGACCTGCTGCCCTGTTCCCAAACCGCCATGACCTGGTGCCCTGTTCCCAAACCGCCATGACCTGCTGCCCTGTTCCCAAACCGCCATGACCTGGTGCCCTGTTTCCAAACCGTTATTACCTGGTGCCCTGTTCCCAAACCGCCATGACCTGCTGCCCTGTTCCCAAACCGCCATTACCTGGTGCCCTGTTCCCAAACCGCCATGACCTGGTGCCCTGTTTCCAAACCGCCATGACCTGGTGCCCTGTTCCCAAACCGCCATGACCTGGTGCCCTGTTCCCAAACCGTTATTACCTGGTGCCCTGTTCCCAAACCGCCATGACCTGCTGCCCTGTTCCCAAACCGCCATGACCTGGTGCCCTGTTCTGCAGTGGCCTGGCCTGTGGACCGCTGCCAATGCAGTGCGGGCGGCTCTACATGAAAAAGCTGTTGTTCTGTTGCATATCCAGGTAGCAACCCACCTTCTTTCCTCCCTGCTGTCCCTTCGCCAGGACGTGGAACATGTTTCTGCCATGACCTGCCGTGCGGACCACTGCTGCCGCCATCCGCTTCAGTGAGGGGTGTGCCTTCCCCTCTCCCCTCTGCACCCTGTTCCCAAACCGCCATGACCTGGAACGTCCTCTGCACCCTTCAGTGAGGGGCTTGACTTCCCCTCCCCTCTCCCCCTGTTTTCAGTGCCGGCAAAGAGTCATCATGACACTCCTTTTTCACCCTGTGCTCGAACCACCAGGCCATGGAACGTGCTCTGCAGCTGTGGAACCACGGCTGATGCCATGCCGGCGTCTTCACACTGGAAGGCTGCTTCTGTGACGTGTACCCAGCTTTTGTAACACCCTTCTTCCCCCGTGCCCCACCCTGTGTTGGAACCACCGGACGTGGAACGTGCTTTGCAGTGACCTGCGGGTCACTGCTGATGCCGCACCATTCCCTTCAGTGAGGGGCTTGGCTTCCTCTCTCCCCTGTTTTCGAACCGCCATGCCGTCCGTCCATTGGCCAGGACGTGGAACATGTTCTGCCCTGACCTGTGGAACACGGTTGGTGCTGCACCCTTCTGGCTGGCCAGCATTGACGCTTACCCCGTCCCGAGTCTCTACTACATCCCACAGTTTGCTGTGAGTGCTTAAATTGGCCCCAGCGTCGTCCACTATTTTCCTGACTTTGCGGTAAGTATTATATGTATTGCGCTGTTGAAATGTTGATTTAGACAATCGTCGTATTGTTTTTGCTGAGTCCTGGGTGCAAACTACAATAAGAGATATTGGTGTGGCAGGAGTCTATTACCTAAGCGAGCTCTAGCGGGGAGCTTTAGCACTACGCCAATAAGGGGGCATCTCCACGTTTGCCCGCCATCAAAGTCTGGACACCAGAGAGGGAAGTTCGGACACCAAAGAAGTAATCCATTCTTTCTCGGCATTCAGGTGTATAGATAGGTATGCGCTGAATATGAGATGCTGGATTCTCTGGACGAAACCATTCTGAAGGAGGACGGAATTGTTTCAAAAACGCCTTTTCGACCCCCTTTTGGCAGAGTGTTTAGGGTAGTTGGAAGTGCGCCTGCGTGCCATATAAATTCAGCAATCCTATTGAAATATCTGACAAAAGTCATGATACCACGTCGCTGGGTTTTTGTTAGCAGGGGAAGTAGGCGGGACAACTGCTGGTGTCCAAACTTTGAATGGCGGGCAAACGTGGGGACCCAAATCTAAGAGGGTCCTTCCTAGGCAACCACCCCCATCCATCATTCGCCCCCCATCCATCATTCGCCCCCCATCCATCATTCGCCCCCCATCCATCATTCACCCCCACCACTCCCCCCCCATCCCTTCCCATCACCGGCCCATGAAAGTTATATTGACACGCGTTGTTCCCCGATGCCCGTGTGCTGCATCACACTTGCTGGTGCACCCATCACACCACACTTGCTGGTGCACCCATCACACCACACTTGCTGGTGCACCCATCCCACTTGCTGGTGCACCCATCACACTTGCTGGTGCACCCATCCCACTTGCTGGTGCACCCATCACACTTGCTGGTGCACCCATCACACTTGCTGGTGCACCCATCACACTTGCTGGTGCACCCATCACACCACACTTGCTGGTGCACCCATCACACTTGCTGGTGCACCCATCACACTTACTGGTGCACCCATCACACTTGCTGGTGCACCCATCACACTTGCTGGTGCACCCATCACACCACACTTGCTGGTGCACCCATCACACCACACTTGCTGGTGCACCCATCCCACTTGCTGGTGCACCCATCACACTTGCTGGTGCACACATCCCACTTGCTGGTGCACCCATCACACTTGCTGGTGCACCCATCCCACTTGCTGGTGCACCCATCACACTTGCTGGTGCACCCATCACACTTGCTGGTGCACCCATCCCACTTGCTGGTGCACCCATCACACTTGCTGGTGCACCCATCCCACTTGCTGGTGCACCCATCACACTTGCTAGTGCACCCATCCCACTTGCTGGTGCACCCATCACACTTGCTGGTGCACCCATCCCACTTGCTGGTGCACCCATCACACTTGCTGGTGCACCCATCCCACTTGCTGGTGCACCCATCCCACCACACTTGCTGGTGCACCCATCCCACTTGCTGGTGCACCCATCACACTTGCTGGTGCACCCATCCCACTTGCTGGTGCACCCATCCCACTTGCTGGTGCACCCATCCCACTTGCTGGTGCACCCATCACACTTTCTGCACACCTTCGGCCAACAACCCAATCCATCACTCCCCCATCCCCCGCCCATCACAGGACCGTCTCCGCGAGTTGATCCTCCATGCCTGTGCGTTCACCCTCACAGGGGGTGCTGTGCGTTCACCCTCACAGGGGGTGCTGTGCGTTCACCCTCACAGGGGGTGCTGTGCGTTCACCCACACAGCTCGCCTCCTCACGCACACATCACGCGTTGGCCCAACACCCCCATCCACCACACCCCATCGCACGACCGTTCACACAAGTTGTTCCCCAAAGGCGGTGTGTTCACCCACACAGCTCAACTCCTCGTGCACCCTTCACATGTATGTTCATGCAACCACCTCCCTCCATCACTTGCCCCTCATCACAGGATCGTCTACGCGAGGTGTTCCCAGATGGTCGGGTGTTCACCCACGCGGTGCGCCTCTTAATGCATCCCGACAACGAGCTGTGGGCGCAGATCACCACCGCCTTCCATGCCAACCTTGCTCACTTCTCCCACCGCCTCGGCCTGCAGGTGGGTGGGCCGTGCAAGTCTGTTTGTATGTGAGTAGTTGTGGGGTGTGAGGCTGCCTGCTGGTACAGGCCTTTTTTCCCAGATGCCAGGTCGTACTGCTTCGCCTTCCCAACCTCGCCCATTTCTCCCACCGCTTTGGTTTGTAGGTGGGTGGGGCATGATGCTGCTTTGATTACACGTGGGGTTTAAGGCTTCTGCGACGTTCCTTCCATTCTGAAGGGTATTATCGAACCGGCGATGCTGCGTCACTTTCCACTCCAATCTCGCCCACTTCTCCCACCTCCTCGGCCTGCAAGTGGTTGGGTTGTTTGATGCTGCTTCGCTTGCAGCTGGGGTGTGAGGCTGCTTCTACAACTTTCCGTTTTCAACGTCCGCATCTAACAGGTACAGCTTCCCATGTTGAAATGGGCTTAGAAGCCCACTGAAATGCCAGCCTAAGAGCCACGGCTGTTAGGTGGCTGAAAAATAAAATCATACAGCAGGAGCAGGTCCGGGTGAAGATCCAGCCGAACCTAGTGAGTGCGCAGCTTAGGAAAGCAACCCACTAGGTTCCAAGCTGAACCAATCAGGAAGTGGAGCCCAGCTGAACCTGCGTGATACTTACTGTGTGGTTGACGTTGAACAGGCGTTTTTTACACCCCTTCCGCTTCACCTGTCCTCTGCTTCCGTCTTGTCTTGTGTCTGCCCCTCTCACACCCCTTGTGTTGCGCCAGATCCGCTCACCTGATGCCATCCATCTGCCGCCTTGGAATGGGGACCTCTGCCACCCCTTCCATTTCACCTGTCTTGTGCTTCCGTCTCGTGTGTCTGCTCCACCCACCCCCCATGCGCCAGATCCGCTCACCTGACGGCATCAACCTGCCCCTCTCGGCTCGCATCCTCCAGTGTGGGACTGCTGTGTCGCACTATCTGCCTTACACACAGTCATTCGCACAGGTGAGAGCGCTGAGGGTGCTAGCTATGCATCCTCCAGTGCTCAACGCAGCTCCGCGCTTTAAGGCGAATGGAACCGAACACGTTAGGTTCACAAAACATCATGCTCGATCCGAAAACTTTTGGCCGACAAACAACAGCCGTTCGGTTGCTTGACCCGAACATGTCAGGGTCGAACCAAACAGGTGCTCGATTTTCTGCTCAGACCACCAAGCCTAGTTACCTTCACATGGCAGTAATTCGTGTAGGTCTTCTGAATTTCTTTTGACAGGGCTCGGCATCCCTGCACACTCCCCCCGCTCGCTCCCCATGACTACTCTTATGTTCTCACCCGAAACATATCTTCCATCGTCAACCTGTATTCATCCCGGCCGTGCTGGAGTCCGGCACGCAGGCTGCTTCCCACGCCTCACACGTGCACCGCACCGCACATGACACTGGGCGTGCTCGTGTCGCCCTTGACCATGAATGAAGCAGATGCTGAAATTCCCAGCAGCGAGACCGCCCGTTGTTCTTGCAGACTCCGATTGAAACCCAAGTCTTGCATGTCATCATGTCATGTCATCCTCCCCTTCCACTTGTCGCCCGCCATTGATATCCAGGCCGTGTTAGAGCCCAGCAATGGGGCGGCCGCACACACACCGCACATGACCATGGGGGTGTTTGTGTCGTCCTTATCGATGCAACACATGTTGGAGCTGCAGGAGCACTACACGCAGAACATGCCCATCGGCAACACGCTCGTTGCCTTCTGGTCGTGAGTGCACTGTGCACTGTAGCATCCCCCACTTGTTTAAGGCCGTGCACTCATCTACGCTCCAGCACATTCGGGCCGTGAACCTAGATTATTGTTACCAACCACAGCACCCACCCCACGCACCCCACCCACCCACACACCTCACCCTACGAGGAGAACCTTGTATGTTTGGAGGGCTTGGGTTTGTTGTCGTTTTTGAACATAGCAGTGTCTTTTCAAAGCCGTTTCGAATCCACCCACACATGTTGCGTGGCAGGCTGACAAGCGAGGAGGTGGAGAACAGGAAGGAGCAGCACCTCGTTGCCACTGTCATCGAAATCTGGCTCCTCAGCTTCTGGTACGCTGCTTCTGATTTTCTTGTCTTCTCCTTTAAACCTGAAAATTAAGTCGACTCAAACGTCATCTTGGTGCTGCTGTCAACGAAATCTGGCTGCTCGGCTTCTGGTAAGCTTTGGCTCTGGCTGCTCTCTGTCTTTTTGGAAATACGAGTCTCATTGGATACTTGCAGTCAAGATCACCACTGGTTGTAGGTTCACAAGCCTCCAAAGGTTGTCCCACTGAAAGCCCTAAAACGTAAAAGGCAGACGCCGGAAAGTTGCAATAACAAACTCCTCCTGTAGATGTTACGGTAGCTCCCTGCTCCAGCTATCCACTCCGCGTTTATGGTTCAGCCGCTCTTCATCGCACAAAAAATGCAGAGATACAGCCATGGAGGTGATGAGGGTTTTGCTTCAAGAGCACCCTTGCTCACCACGCACAGCCTTGCACTAGGGGTCCAAGCTGCCACGCACAGCCTTGCACTAGGGTTCCAAGCTGCCACGCACAGCCTTGCACTAGGGGTCCAAGCTGCCACGCACAGCCTTGCACTAGGGGTCCAAGCTGCCACGCACAGCCTTGCACTAGGGGTCCAAGCTGCCACGCACAGCCTTGCACTAGGGGTCCAAGCTGCCACGCACAGCCTTGCACTAGGGGTCCAAGCTGCCACGCACAGCCTTGCACTAGGGGTCCAAGCTGCCACGCACAGCCTTGCACTAGGGGTCCAAGCTGCCACGCACAGCCTTGCACTAGGGGTCCAAGCTGCCACGCACAGCCTTGCACTAGGGGTCCAAGCTGCCACGCACAGCCTTGCACTAGGGGTCCAAGCTGCCACGCACAGCCTTGCACTAGGGGTCCAAGCTGCCCCCACTGCTCCCATCTCAGCAACCGCCTGCTCACGACACACCTGTCGTCATTCGGGCGCACGGCAGCAGGGCTGGCAGGCATGGAAGGCTTCTCCACACTGTCAACCCACTCCCATTCCCCTACACCCGTACCCCCAAACCCCCCCCACCCCCCCCCCCCCCCCCCTCCCAGCGACCGGCTACTCATCACGCATCTCTCCTCATTCGGGCGCACAGCAGTGGCGCTGGCAGGCATTGATGCGTTCTCCATGGCGATCACGGTGGTGAAGATGCGCGCCGTGGACTGGCGCTCCATGCCGGGGCCCGTGTGCGAGCGCGTGCCTTGTGAACCCTGTGACACCGGCGGTGGGAACGTGCAGTGGGTGAGTGGCTTAACTGGAGGGTGCTGCCATGCGTGCACCTCCTAACCATATGCGACACCTCCCATCTCCATGCATGCACCTCCCATCTCCATGCATGCATCTTCCATCCCCATGCATGCACCTTCCATCCCCATGCATGCACCTCCCACCCTCATGCATGCACCTCCTAACCGTATGCGACACCTCCCATCTCCATGCATGCACCTCCCATCTCCATGCATGCATCTTCCATCCCCATGCATGCACCTTCCATCCCCATCCATGCACCTCCCACCCTCATGCATGCATCTCCGAACCATATGCGACGCCTCCCATCTCCATGCATGCACCTCCCATCTCCATGCATGCATCTTCCATCCCCATGCATGCACCTTCCATCCCCATGCATGCACCTCCCACCCTCATACATGCACCTCCCATCTTTTTGTTGCATACCCCCATTTCCCCCAACGCACCTCTCCCATCCATTCCCCCGCTCCCCCATCCCCCCACCAGTCGGGGTGCAATTGGGACTACAATATCAGCAGGCTGGCACGCGGGTGGGAGCGGCCGCCCGGGTTTGGCTTCTGCGCCGGCTTCCAGTTCGGCCTGCAGGACAACAGCCCGTTTGCCTCGCAACCACCGCAATGATTCATCTGCCAGGACTGCCAGTGGCAGCATAACCACATGGGTGCAATATGTGCTGAGGAACCCCCCAGGGACGGATACGGCTTAGGCAGAGCAAGGGGTAGATCGTGTGCTGGCTTCCCAATTCGGCCTGCATGATAGCAGCAGCGTTGCCTCCCAGACACCATCGTGACTGACTGGTATAGGATCATAACAGCATGTGTGCAGCCTGCAAGCGGTGGCACAAGTAGCTTCTTGCAGAGTAGCTTTAACATTAACATACCACCAGCCAATCTTCACACGAGCTGTTACGGTAGTGGTGCCCATCAATTTTTCGCGTATGGGAGATGCATTCCTATTTACTTGAATCGACTCGATGCTAAGTTGTAAGTTTAAGGTGTTCTATTCCATGGCCCTGAAGGAGTTGACTTGTTTTTTTTGTATGGAAGGGCACGTAAGTGGAGTGTGATTCTGCAATGTCTAAAATTATGTTGTCAATAATTTCATATGTTTACATCCACATACCGTACAAAGACAGTTTCACTTGGAGCTTGTATGCATGGACCCTTATGCCCCCACCTCCAATCCTTGCAGTGCCCGCGCTGCCGCGCATTGGCCAGCGCGCTGCTTCGCACATTTCCCCGCGCTTTGCCCCGCGCTGCCGTGTGCTGTCCCGCACCGCCCCGCACTGCCCCGTGCGCTGCCACGCGCCCTGCCTTAAGCTGCACGCACTGCCCCCCCCCCTCCCCCCCCCCCCCCCCCCCTCCCCACGCCCTGTCTAATGCAACCGCTGCCCACACACTGCCTCGCGCGCAGCCCTCCGCTGACCCACGCACTGCCCCACACTCTGCCCTGGTCGGTGCATCAGCAGCCACACGCGCGCGCCCTCAAGAACTGACGCGCACCCGCCCACTCGCACATCGCACCCGCCAATCGCGCACACCCCACATCACTGCGCACGCACACGGCAGCAGCCACCTCCCTACCCGTGCCGGCCACTGTACAGCCTTCCTCTCACTGGCGGCCTTCCCAGTAGCGGCTGGAAAGCCGCATCACCATTTGTTGGCCCCGATTAGGGTTTCTGACACGCTCCTAGGTATCAATGACTCATAGCCTAGCGTTACCAGCTATGCTCGATCCTCACTCCGGTCGTTCCTAGCCACCATTCCTGCCTCCGCTGGCTCCTCGCTCCGAGGGTTCCTAGCCTAGCGTTCCTAGCTCCAATAACTCGAGACTCCAATAGGTCCTAGCCTGGCTTTCCTAGCTCCGCTCGCTCTGCCCTCCAGCCCCTCCTAACTCCCGTTGCTCCCGTGGCGTCCTCTCGAGTTTTGCGCTTCGACGCAGAGGGTCCTGCGATAGACTTTAGCACATGATTCTGCCAGGCCTAGCGTCACCTTGCAAGCCAGCATCAGGACGGCGCTATGATGCGTGTTGAAGAGAGAAGGCCTCGCCTTTGCTTGGGCGAAGCCGGCTTCGTTGGCCGGCTTGCAAGGTGTGCAGCCGGCTAGGCGATGTGGTCGGTATCAACAAATGAACGAGGAAAAGAATGACTAAAGAATGAACAAACGAGCAAGATATAGGAAACCTAAGCCTAGGACTAACAGAACTATACACCACCTAGACTGAACATACAAACTATATAAAACCTAGAATTTGACAGTTAGTGCCGACTTGGAGGAGCAAGTCAGCTTGGTTGGCCGACCTCGGTGGAGCTGACATCGATCGGCGGAGCCCACTATGGCGGTTAGCCGACTTCGGTGTTGACGTTTCGGAACTTTGCCCCGTCCGGATGCAATACTGTCACTTTTTAAACAATTTGAGTTTCCGGAAGTACGGTAGCCTCGCTAGAGGCAAATGTAGCGTCGTTACACAATTCACGACATAATATTCGCGCGCCATATGAGTTAGCACCACTATCTAGTCAGAACAGTTTTTCCGTCCGTTTGGTTTTTTAACTGTCAAGTATTCAGATTCTGAACCGTTGAATGGAGGGAAAAGTCACGCCACGGTTCGGATTGTTGGCGACATCGCACATAAATTCACAAACTTTAATACGAAACCGTGCAAAAGTGGTAACCTTTCGTCAGTTTGAACCGTCGATGGTACAGTTTGGTCCCGAAGCGTTGGCCGACTCGAGCCAGTCCACCGATGCATTGTTGGGGAATTGTGACGTGCGAAGGCGACGAAACACCGTTGGAAGTAACGGGCGAAAGAACGGTCGGTCTAGTACGCGATGTTGAGATGCGCGATAAGGAATGCGGAAAGATCCGTATGCACCTTCTAAGGTGAGTCTACAGTAAGGGTGCATTCCGGCCGTGACATGTCCAGGAACTACTCGTCACAAAAGTGAAAAATCTGAGCCGCATGTGGTAAAGACCAAGTCGCGTGTGTTAATCTTCGTGTCACAAACGATGTACGGTATGTGACATTGTGCGATTAAAAAACTTCTGCCACATGTCTTACCAACAGTGGCTGAAGCAACATTGCTTGTGTTATTTCTTCGTCACAATCATAGACAAATAGTGCCTTGTTTTGCTATCAGCGGGTGGTGGGCATCAGATAAATATTTAAAGTGCCATGTGTATGCTGCTGGTCGAACATTTCGCTGCGAATGTCGCAGCATTTCGAGCCGCTCTCGAAAGTTCATGAGCGACGATGATAAGTGGTCAACGATTTGGGAATCCGAATTCCTTTGATCATGAAAAGTCTAACAAAAGTAACATAAAAACCTGTGGTACAGACCAGGGCTCTTGCTAACTATGTGGGCCGTCTGACAAAAAAAAAAAAAAAAAAAAAAAAAACAACAACAACAACAGCAACAACAGCAACAACAACAACAACAACAACAACAACAACAACAACAACAACAACAACAACAACAACAACAACAACAACAACAACAACAACAACAACAACAACAACAACAACAACAGCAACAGCAACAACAACAATAACAACAACAACAACAACAACAACAACAACAACAACAACAACAACAACAACAACAACAACAACAACAACAACAACAACAACAACAACAACAACAACAACAACAACAACAACAACAACAACACCAACAAGAACAAGAACACCAAAAGAACAAGAACAAGAACAAGAACAAGAACAAGAACAACAACAACAACAACAACAACAACAACAACAACAACAACAACAACAACAAGAAAAGAACAACAACAACAACAACAACAACAACAACAACAACAACAACAACAACAACAACAACAACAACAACAACAACAACAACAACATCAACAACAACAACAAGTTTGACCATTATATGAGGGATTTTGGGTGATATGAGTTTGAGATGACATTATGATGTCTGTCTGATATGAAAGTATTTAACTTGTCTGATGTTCGTCACCAGATGTCACAGTTGTTACGAAGTGGATGTGGTATGTCTCAATCCCTTTCCACACTTCTTCTCCTTGCTCATTCTTCCCCCTCTCAGATATCCATAAAGGCTGCGTATGTTAGTTGAGAATTGTCAATAAAAACGTACCCAGCACTGCACCAGATGTCATAGTTGTTACGAAGGGACCCCCTTTTTTTTCCTTAGCATATCAGGCAAAAACTTCCGCGCTGTCCAAAAACTCATACAAAATATTTCAACTCGTCTGAAAAAACATATCGTCATCCCACACTCAGGCCTCGGTTACACACATGCGCTTATAAGCGGTCTGGTGGGGTTATAGACGGTTGACGATTATAAGCCTACCCAAAATTAGGCTCATCTTAGGATAAGCCCAACCCCTTCATCCTCGAATATGCCCATCCCCTTGATCCCTTTACTTGCCCATGTGGGAATCTCATTGTATTTTTATCAATTAACTATCTCCTAATCTCCTAAACAATTTCAGAACTAGTGTCAGGCGTTAAACCTACACGATAGCTAGCCTACTCTATACGACTGGTACTTTAATAATCATCGCCTGCAGCGGCGGAGGGGAATCCCACTCTAGTTCTGGTTGCACTCAATGGTCGGGTCATTCGGGTCCTCCTCATCCTCCCATTTAGACTTCGTCTCCTCAACGTTGTTCCCGAAGAAGCCGTCTGCCGCCACTTCGTCGTCGACGTTGATGGACATTGGTTCGCCGTTCCGATGGTGCGGCGTGCACAGCTCGTCGTGGGAGCCATCAAGCGCGTATAAATGACCGAGATGACAAAGAACACGCATACATTGTGATTCTATAGGAAATACAAAGGAATGCGAAACGACCTAGACTAGCTTTGTACTCTAAGGGGTACATTCCCATATTATAGCGAAATGCAAACCTGTTCCCGCTCTTTTCACTTCAAATGTTTCTGCCTGCATCGGTCTCGATCTGACGGTTGATGGTGTCATTTCGACTCTTCTGACTCCTCGACTTCGTACTCGGTAGAGTTGGTTCTGCAGCGTATATGAATGCCTTCTCATAAAGTTTCATATCTCGGGGGCTGACTCGCTTGATTACTCTGGTCAGGTTGGATCAGTGCTGGTACTGCTGACGTGGCAGTCGCTTGGTGAGGAAGTCAGCCGCCATCTCGGTTGTGTGGCAGTACGTGAGGTCCACCTTGCCCAAATCAATTTCGTCCTTTTGACGAAAATGTATCGAAGTGCAATGTGCTTCGTGCGGTTGACGAACTCCGGCTTGTTCGCTATCGTGATGACGCTATGGTTGTCGTAGTGAAGGCGAAATGTGGGCGAAATGTGGGCACCTCCTGCAGCAGATAAAGCCCTTCGCGTACTGCAGCTGTTGCGGCGATGTACTCTGCTTCAGCGAATGACAGGGCAACCAGCTCCTGCTTCTGCGAGTTCTAGGAGATTGGACCTGTTGGCTCCAGGCAGAAGACAAAGCCGGTTCGTGACCTTCGAGTGGCAGGATCAGCGGCGTGATCCGCGTCCACGTGGCCGGTGAGGTTAAAAGATGTTGTTGTCAGCGTAGTAGTAGAGCCCGATGTTAGGTGTGGAGACGAAGTACTATAGGGCGCGCTCCAGGTCCAGCTGGTTCTTTGGTATTGGC